ACCAGTTTGGATCTGGATGAATTTTGGTCAGATCTTTTCATTTTCATATATATAACAAACTTCTGCCAAAGGAAAGTATTAAACAAGCTTTTATGCAAAATTCTAAATCTAACAAAAACTTGTATAGCTACAAAAATGGTTCTGATCTCATTTTAAAGGTGATATTAAGTACTATCAAGAAACAATTTATACCAAAATAGAAAAAAAAATTTACAGAATCTTGAAATTAAAAAAATCGCGAAAAACAAAAACTTTAAAAAATCGTTGGCTATTTTTTAATACATATCTCCAACTGATATTAAAAGATTTTCACGAAGTTGTTTTTTAAAGATATGATTTTTTTTTTTAATTTTTGAAAAGTTCTTTTTTGCAAACTCTAAATAAAATTATGTTAACCAATTCTTATGTATCTCAAAAAAATCGTGAAAATTTCAGGAACTTTAAAGACCAATTGGAGGTATTGTATAAAAAAAATTTCCAAAAAATGTTTTTTATAACGATTTTTTTAATTTAAAAATTCTGTAATTTTACCCTTAAAATAGGAACAATAATTTTGGTAACTACAATAATTTTTGAGACATTCAAAAAATAAACTTGCGAAATCCGCAGAAATTTCGAAAAAAAATATATTTTTCCTTTGGCGTAACTTCGTTATATGATAAAAGAAAAGATCTGACCAAACTGCAACCAAATCAAAAATGGTCGATTCCAACCAAAGGTCGCTTTGGATTAACCCACATGTATATAAATATATGTATGGGTGTGTTCAGAAATGTATCAAGCCAAAGCATCAGACGCAATAATTTCTAAACTATAATTGATGGAAATGTGTAATATGCGCGACCATGGTTAAATGCCTAATTAAAACTTAGTTGCGTAAATAAGGCATTTCCAACAGCTGTAGTTTAGAAGTAAATGAGACTGATGCTTTGGCTTGATGCATTTCTGAACGCACCCTATATATGTACGAATGCATGCAAATATTTATCTACATTTTAGAATGTGGCGAGCTAGCTGATAAGGCCCGGCATTAGCACTTCGACAAACGTAGATACACAAATGTTTACTTAACTTATACAGTATTCTCTTCTCCCTTCGTACATAGCTCCTACCCGCACAAAGTGCCCACACTTAAAAGCTATTTCATACCCCTGAAGGGTGGAGATGGCGATATTGTTGCGAATACACAACGCTTATGGTTTGAGAATGAGAAAAAACGTCCAATACAGTTTCAGAAATATGTTGGCTATAAGTAAGTTTCCATTTTTAAACTTCCAATTTAAACAAATTCTCTTTCTAGTATCCGATTAACTCACTCTTTGTGCCTAGGTCGCTACTCTACGCCATCCTAACACCCATTCTAGTGGTCTTAATCTCTTTATTATCCCAATTAAGTTTTACACGCACCTTGCTTTTGAAAAATCCGAAAATTTTCACTTTGGGTCTCATATCATCCGAGGGTCCAACGGAGGCTGCAATGGAATCTCACATCTTCCAATTGCTTGTCAAAACCAAAGGCTGGACCAAGGAGCAATCGTTGAGTGAGCAACCCAAACAGCAGTTGTGGACACGGGTATCGGGTCGCAATCCTTTCTACGCAATGACGGGTGTGACGATGTTGGTGGCGGCACGAATTATTTTGCAGGAGACCCATAAATTGCCTGGAAGGTAAGGAGGGAGGGAGCGAAAGAAAATAGCAGACATTTTCTGAAGCTAAAAAAAAAAATTTCTATTTTAGTGGTGGCGTGATTTCACCGGGTTATGCCTTCGCCAAAACTAGTCTGATTGAGGAATTGCAGACGTACAAATATGGCACCAAGTTTGAAGTACTGAAACTAGAACCCTAATTACATACTTCAAAAGCAGTATAACTGCATAAACAGACAGTAAATAAAATCAAAATATATTTCCAATTTTTGCTTTACAAAATAAAGATTATACAAATTTTACAACAATTTACTAGATTTGGTCAAAGAAATTTAAGTAAAAGGTCTACAATTTTAAGAAAAAGCAGTTGCTCAGTTTTTATTCAAAAGGCGTGGTAACTCTTAAAGATCATTTCCACAACGAATCAATTTTTCATGATCGTACCGGGTCTAACATGCAAAATCATCTGTTCAAAAATTGGTGATTTTATCATCAAACATAACCTAAGAGACATCTAGAGAATTCCTGTGGTGTAACCAGTGTTGCCGCAGTCGCCCAAAGAAAAGTATCCTAAATGTAGCCTAAGAAGCATCCAAAAGTATATAATTTTTTATTTTAAGTATCCACGTATCAATCTGAACAACACTTCAAGTTCCAGTAAACAACATATTTTTCAATTAATTTGTGATACATTTAATTTTTTACACCCGAGCGATCTCGTGCACAAGGCTATTTTATAACATTGTTTACAAAACGAATCGATATATACGAAACGACAAATGTATACATAAATGCTCAGAATGAAAAAAGAAATCCATTCCGCCGTGACTGTCTGTCCGTCCGTCTGCGCACCCACTAACTCGAGTAGAAATTTAGATATCTTCACGAAACTCGGTATGTGTACTTCTTTTGGACGTAGGACGGATGGTATTGAAAATTGGCAAAATCGGACCTACCTCCCATATAACGGTAGTTTCCAGAAATTCGAAAACTGCGATATTTTAGTAACTACTGAAGATTATTCAGTCAAAATTTATATTTACAATGATTTTTAGACGAAAAATAAGAATATTATAAATTGTTGGAAAATGTTCTTAGCTACGCCCACTTATGATTGCAAGTTATATCTTGGCAACCGCTCCACGAATTACTCCCAAACTATACACAGTGGTTTGCCTTGGTACAACATGCGAAATGGCTGAAAATTTAAAAAAAATCGGACAATAACCATGAATACGGTCCATATAACGGTAATTTAGAAAACAACGAAAACTTTGAAAGATCAATAAAGACTGCAGCGAATTTATTCAAAATGGATGTTTGCAATAATTCTTTAGCAAGAAATACGTCTATAACAAATTTTTGGAAAATGGGCGTGACACCGTTCACTTATAACCGCATATGTGCATCTCGGTAACCGTTCAATCAATTTGTACCACACTCGGTATAATTGTCGTACTTACCACGTAAAAGCAAGGCGTGTAAATTTTTAAAATCGGACTAAAATTACGCCCACTTTTCATATAACGGAAAATTTCAAAATTGCGAAAACTTGCTAATTTACTCAAAATTGATAACACCAATCCCTTAAAAGAAATAAGAATATTATGGAATTTTGGAAAATGGGTGTATACCGCCCACTAGTGGACTATATACGTAAGTTCATCTCATTAACATTTCATAGAAAATGTTTAAAATATGTGCTTACCATGTAACGGTAGTTTTTAGAAAGGTAGAAAACTATAATTAATGCGTGCGCCGGATATTTAATGTTTAGTCTCTTTTGAAAAACCCTGACGTCAGAAAGAATAACTGAAAAAGCAGTTTGACTATAACTGGCCCATAGTTTGGTGATTTTTTCGTGGGTTTTGACATTTTTCGGTTGTAATACAGACTTTCGCAATAATATCCAACTTTTTTTTTAACAAAAAAAAAAACAATTATATTGTAGATTAATCACCCTTTACGAAATCGGTCTCCTAGCGAAGCCAAAACGTTCCTTAATATTTAGTAAATTTGATAATAATTTTTGATAACACCACTTATCAAACTTGCTAACGAAAGTGATAATGATAACGGCAGCAAAAGCAATAAAGATACCGATATTTGTAGTACATATGTAGTTCTGATAACGGTCTTGGCTACAATGAAGGTGTACATTTTACTGTTAGAAGTTAAACCATAATGCCTCAAAACTTAGACAAATGCACATTGCTGCAAAATATAGGCTTCTAGAAGGCCAAATTTCTCTTGTTGCGAACAGTTACGGTTCTACTGAACCGCAGTCACTTGATTTCCGCAATTAGCTCCGGTCTTTCTCTTCATCTTTTAGCACTTACAACACCAAAGTCATATTCATGAAAAATGCAAAAATTTAAATATACTTCCAGTTCTAGTAAACGAATGGCAACGCTCATGAATCTCCATTCTCTGAGCATAATTGCTTGTACTCTCCAGCAGTTGGTTCCATGAGCATTTATAGCCTACGCACATATATATATGTATATGTATGTTTGTATGGCCATATGTAAATACTTACCATACATACATATGTACATATAAACGCGATTATAAATAATACATAGTGCAAATCACATAGGCGTTGGTTTCGGCCTTGGCCGTCATTATGTGAATTTTTCCAGACGCTCCGAGCTTTTGTAAACGCGAATTTAGTTATTGCGAGACACTCAGCTGATTAACTTGTAGAATACATAAATTATTTTCAAAGAAGTGCAGCGTGTAGATTAAATTCAAACGAAATGGCAACAAAATTGGATGCAATAATTTTCGGCGCAACCGGCTTTACTGGAGAAATTGTCGTTGAGAATGCGCCGGAGGTGTTGCAAGGCTTGACATGGGGTATTGCGGGAAGGAATTCGGTAAAAAAACAACACTGATTAAGGCACTAAAGTGATCGTAGTTTTATTAAAAAAAACTCAATACTTTTTAGGCTAAATTGGAAAATGTCTTGAAAGTAGCCGGTAAAAAAATAGGCAAGGATCTTAGTAAGATACCCATTATTTTGGCAGACGTTGAAGATGAAAATTCCATAAAGGAAATGGCGAACAAGTGCAAGGTGAGTGTTAGTGAAAGTGAAAGTGAAAGTGAAATTTTTGAGAATACATTCAAAGCAACTGAGCGCATATACACTTTATGAAAT